TCCTTTTTTTTTTCATCGGTAGCTTGTGGGCATGCTCTTACATTCCCAAAAATTCCGGCTAAGTGTTCTTTTTGTCGAAAAATACCACCCATAGAAGTATTTCCACAGAGCGTGCAAATCACACAATTTTTATCTTTCAGATTTTTTAGTTTGGCATATTTCCAAACCGGATTTAGAAGATTGAAAAGAAGACATTGCCTAAAAATAAGTATTACTGTACAAGGAATAATAAGTTACCGGTTCTTGAAGCAGTGCTCAATTTCTTCACGACCTTTGAAACCCCCGATTTCTTGTCACAAATTCATCTAAACTTTCACAAATCAATAAGCAAAAGGATCAAATCAAGATCCAAGTATCAAACAATCCCCAAATCAAAATTCTCAATGAAAAAGAATTTCTGCTTTTTTTTTTTTTTTTTTGCTCGATTTGATCCCCAAAAAGCCACAAAAGTGGTTGTTTTTTGCTCGATTTGATCCCAAAGAAGCCACGAAAGTGGCTATAAATGCTCATTTAGGGGTTTAATACCCCCAGACCATTTCCCAATTTTGATGGTCAAAAAGACCATTTTACCCATCCCCGAGGGGCTCAATTGAAAAAAAAAAAGTCATAAAATTATGTGGCCATATGCGGGTGATGCGCTATGATGCGGCGATTATGCGCCTACATACCACCAAATCGCATATGCGGCATTTTTTGATACGGTGCCTACCGCATACCACCTGATGCGGCCGCACTTTAAAACACTATGTAAAATGTAGTTTTTGGTTAGAAAAAAAACCCTCAAATAGGGAATTGGGTTGGGATAGTTGCAAAAGGGTGAAGTGTTAAATTATTGAAAAGTTAGGTATATTTCGATAATCAATTTTTTGACATTGATAATTGTGGTTTTGAAAATTTCAAAACTAAAAAAAAAATGCATTTTATAAATAATTCGATTTCGAATATTTACAATGTCCTCCACAAGCCCTCACTTGCGGAACTAGAAATCCCAAATATCGGGATTCCACTCAAGATTGTGTACATAGGTAGTTAAATGCGAAATAAATGAATACAACCATAAAGCAAGTGCAATAAATAAAGTAAAAACAATATTACATCACAAAGATACGATTTATGTGGTCTGCCCCTATAGGGCTACATTTATGGTCTCAATAAATAGAAATTCATTATCGTAATAAAGATTATAGTTTTGGATTACAAGAGATATGCCTCTCTCCAAATATTAACAAAAACCTCATCGATATTCTATTCTAAACTCGCTCTTGTGACCGAGCAATACGTCGATCAATCTCATATGTCCCACGATTACAACACTATCAGAAAGAGAACCTCGAGAGCAATATTGATACTTTCTTTCTATAAAAGTAAAAGTTGAACCAACCCAAAACCCCATAAGAACACCAGCTCTGTAGTAGGCCATGTCTCTCTTGGAGACCCATCTCCTCCTTGAAAATCCTTTCGTGTGTCCCCCAAAGAGGTGATCCTAAAAAGAATGAGTATTATGCCTTCTTTGAGAGATCACAATGGCTTTTTTCTTGCTCTCCAAGAAAACCCATTTTTCTTTACAGCATAATAGCCTCAATTTTTTGAAGAAACATATAAACTATCATCAAACCTAACAATCCCAGTATTGATAACAAAATCACCATAATTGCTTTGCCAACTTTGTTAAAGGGAAAAGTTTATATAAGATTGCAACCGTAAAATGTAGAATCACGTATGCACCTCAAAAATCTGTCGGAAAGGCTGTTTTAATGTTGAAAAACCCTCTAATTGATCATCTCAACATCAAGATGTATGAATATTAAAAAAAAAAAAATTGAGTCTAAAAAATAGTACATCTTGCAACACATTATCTAGACTGTCCATTTTCAAGATTTTCATGTGTTTATAGATGTACTTGATTTTAACCATTTTTGGAGTTTAAACTTTTCTAATTAGATATAACAATAGTTTTTACGATAATACGAAAAAAAATTTACAACAAACTAACTATATTATGTATAAA